GCCCGGGGTAACTTACGGGCGGCTCCTTCCCTCCGCTGGTCCCCGCGCGGCTCTGATCTCCTCTCTCTTTTTATTGTTACAGGGCAGTTGCAAAAGGGAAAACAAAACAAAACAAAACAAAAAACAAAAACAAACCACCGCCACCACCAACTGTGTATCGCAAAGAAAAACAAAACAAAACAAAAAAAAACCCAAAGAAACCAAACCAAACCCAAAATGGAAAAAAAAAAAAGCCGCAAAATGTTAGCAAGTCTAAGTTGAAATTTGAGAGTTACTGTTACAAGTTAACATTCTTTTTACACGGCTACCCACCAGCAGTGTTTTGCAGTGCAGAATAATTTATTCTGTTATTTTTACTCGGAAATGAATGTAATAAATCTGATTTCTTTTTCTTTCCTCCCTTTTTTTTTCTTTACACTGAACAACTAACACAGCAGTGCAGTTTGCTCTATTATCAGGACTAAGATATAGGCTATAATTTTTTTGCCGAAAATGTTAAGTGCTGAAGACTGACATTTCAACTATCTGTATTTTTTGCGAGGGGCAAATTCTTACCTCCCCTTCACTCCGACTGAGCCCAAATTTATTTCTATGGCTGCTTTAGCTACTCTGCAAGGTTGGAAGTCGGAAAGTAAAGCATCAAGTTTTTAAATCCAGTTTTCTTTTTCAAAAGAAAAAGCTCTTCTCTTTGCCATTGCAGTTTTGTTTGAAATTTTTGTCCTATTAGGAACTTCTCTCTTTTTCTTCTGCAGCAAACTATTTTGAAAGTCTCTTCTGTATTCTTTCATCTGATTTATCATGCCTTTCTTTTTCTTTTCTCCTTGGAATTTTGTACCACCTTTAACAATGTGCATATAATGTTTTTCATCTTCACAAAATAGAAAAGGTGTCAGCTATAGGTATGGATATCTTCCTTGGCAGCAGGGAAACCCGTGTGAGATGAACGGAAGGAAAATGGGCAAAATCCTATTGCCCTTACTTGTACGCATAGTACCACTAATTCAATGGGATTACTTGTCCGAGTAGAGCAAATAGGATTGAACCCTATTAGTTATATTAAATGAATTTAGTTCGACAGATCCCGTTACTGAATATACTGGATTTTTAGGTTGTACGTGAGTTTTCTTTCAGTTCAGAAGAAATAGCACATCTGAATATTTTCCCTGTTTGTTAAAAATGCGTAGTTATCTCCTTCAGCTGCATGATGCAATACCACTCGTAAAACATAGCAGGGTTTTGATTTTTTTTTTTTTTTTTGGTCAGGCTGCAGTTTTGGAATCACTGTTTTCAGTGACTAAAAAATAGCTTTGAAGGAGACTATACGTATCAGAGGAACAGGGCTTGCTAATCTGTGTTGAAGGGCTCATGCTGCATGTGCCTGACTGTACAGGGAGCTAAGCCTCTGCTGCACGGTGATGCCGGCAGGAGCTGGTGGCAGCCCGGGTTTGTAGCGGGTACTCAGTGCCTGGCAGGACAAAGACAGCCATAACGATTTGCTTACCTGGCTTCATTCCTAATGCTCCTTTATTGTTTTAGGTTACCGTCCCATCCCAACAGACCCTTACCTGGGAGGGAGTTCACCCTTGCCACCCCCAGTAAGTGACAGGATGAGAAAGAGACGGGCTTTTGCTGATAAGGAGTTGGAGAACATTATGCTAGAGAGAGAGTATAAAGAAAGAGAGATGATGGAAGCTACGCAAGCAGCTGCCCTTTTTCTTCCTAACCGCATGGTGCATGGACCTGAATACAGCTCGTATAAAACAGCCTTCAACCCTCCTCAAGTCGATGCTCCGAACAAGGAGTTTTGCAATTTTTTACCAACCTGCCTTGATCTAACCATGCAGTATTCAGGATCTGGTAACATGGAACTAATTTCTTCAAATGTCAGTGTAGCGACTACCTACAGGCAGTATCCCCTGTCTTCCAGGTTGTTAGTGTGGCCAAAATGTGGCCCCATTAGTGATGCTCTCCTCTATCAGCAATGCCTGTTAAACGCTACTACCGTTCAGGCTCTCAAACCTGGGGCAGGGTGGGATGCCAAGGTCTCGCAAAGTCAGGACTGTCCAAACAATGAGCAAGACACTGTGTCTCCAAAATTGGAGAATTCGGTTGTTCTGACCCACACTCGAGACATTCAGCAGTCATGTAATGAGACTGCATGCTTTCCTCAGGAAGCTCGAGAGAGGTCAGCTTTCTCTCCTCCAAAAAGGACTTTCTCTCAGATTTCTGATAAGGATCCTCTGGCTCCTCAAGAACAGATCTTGAGCAAGATCAGCAAAGAAAGCACCAAGCCCCCTCCACCACTTAAATACAATCCATTCCAGTCCCTGTTCCAGCAAACATTTCCTGACAAATCTGGAGCAGAGCTGCGAGCATCGTTTGTCAAAGAGACTTTTGAAGAAGCTTCTAAGAAATACAGAGAGTGCTCAATTAAAGAGAACCAAAAGTATAAACTGACAATAGAAAAATATGGAAAAGACTTCTTTGAGGCCAAACAGGCCACAACAAAACTTTCGACAAATGAGCCACTGTCATTTTCAGTTGAATCCATCCTTAAACGACCTTCTTCTGCAGTTGCTAATGTCTCTCAATAAATACCTTCAGTGTAAAGAGTTTGAATGCTTTGCTTTCTCCAAAATCGCTACTGCCTGCCTTTTTCTTAAAAGATCTATAAAAAGGAATTTCTGATGTAAATGGTAGTTCTTCCTTTTTTTTTTTTAATGATGTACATAAATATGCATGTTTTCTCCTCTGAAAGAAATAAATATTTAATTTTTTAAAGATGAAACTGCATGTACTGTAAAGTGTTGTTCTTTTAGCATTACTTCAATTCATACAATAAAATGAGATTACCTACAAACATACACGTTCTTTGCCATACTGGTAATATCTCCTGATCTCTATTTTGACTGTAGTCTCTCCCAGACAAGTATACCCTACTTGCAAAACATACATTTTCTTTTATGTGCTATTATCAACATACCTATTAACTATCTTGATAGTGTAAGCAGTCACCTCTGCTTTGCACCTCCAGTAGCTAAGAGAAGAGGTAGTGACCATTCAGGTATGTGAGTGTGAATTCGCAAGTTCTTTTTTTATTAACTTCAGTGAGATTTTGATCAGGTTTGAAACGCGTTTCTTAATCTGAAGGGGGCGTGCATACAAGCATAAAAAAGTGGTTTATTCCACACCTCTCAATAAAAGCTTCTGCCCCTAGAGCAGAAGTGTTACTAGACTGGCTCTGAGGAGGATAGATCTGGTGAGTTTTTGGACAACAGGTCTACTTTTTTATTCAGCTGACTTTATGGTTCCTCTGGATTTTCACCCCCAGGATTTTTTCCCTTCCAAAAACTTTTCACCTTTGAGCAGCAGGAGTCTGAGATACTTGTGTTGTTTCTATTGAAATGACCAATAGGCTGTAAAAATGGGGCACAGAATCCTTAATGCTAAAAAGAGATCGAGGTATGATCTATCTTAATTTTATAACTCTGTCCCCCTTTTTGTGGACAGCAGAAAGAAAGGGAGTTAACTGGCAGAGTTTGCCTGGGAAACCTGAAGTCTCGTCAGGGTGGTAGGAAAAGACAATGCCAGCTCACGTTATGACTGAGCTGAGTACTTTCTTAATTCATGATTTTTATGTTTGGGTGTGAATACATCTACTTGCAATTAGCCCTTTGGTTACCTTCCTTTCTTAAGCTTTAAAATTTTTCATTCTGAGTATTTTCAAAGGATAATTTCTGTCTGCTGTTTGTGAGCAGAATGTAGTATTTTCTCATTTTATCCTACCCACTCTACAGGCTGAATGATTATTTTGCTATGAATAAATCTCAGCCTGCGAATTGCTGATCCTCTAAATATTTCTGAAAGTGTTTGGTGTTTCTGTTGGGAGTGGTGCTGCTCGGTAACACACCGCTTTTTATGGATGGGACAAGCCATCTGTCACAGGTGTTTTTCTGAGCCACTTTTATGGTTTGATGCTATTGCTAGTCACTTTCAGTGTCGAAGCAACAAAGCCTGCCCTTTGCTTGAAACCTATTTTAATTCAGCAATATAAACAGTTTTGTTGCAATTTAATAGACTTTTGGGCGCTGGCTAACGGCTCATTTTTCAGGAGAATTCGTAGTGGTAAGATTTTGCCTACAAGAAAATACATTACAAAACAAAGCAAAAATAGCAAAATTATGTTGCAAATAACAGCGGGTGCTTTCCCCTTTTTCAAACTCTGTCCTCTATTCAGTTGCCGTTAGAGGGAGTTTTAACTTACTTGGGAGCTGCATCTGCTTGTTAATCAATTTAGCAGTCAGAACAAGCTAAGCAGTTTTTACCCAAAGTAAATGGAGTAAAATTCTTCCCAGTTTATATTTGTTTGCTTGCACCATGGCTTCCTTCTTTGGCTCAGCATAAAATACTAACAAAAGGTTTTAATTTAAACAATGTTTCCTTTGTTATTAAAAACATGATTTGTTTTGTTTTTCAAGCTGATGGCATAAACTAGGATGACAGATGAAAGAGAGTCCAAGCAATCTATGTAGAAAACCAGTATTGAATACTGGAATTAGTCCTGCATAAATATTTTTTGCCTGACAATGTGTGCATCTAACTGTGCTCAATTTCACATGTGAAATATTTTTTCAGGAAGCCATTTTGCTTTATTTATCTCACCAAAAAAAAAAAAAAGACTGGAAAAGCAAACATCTCCTAAACAGTAGTACTTCCTGACTTTTTAAAGAATGGTTGAACTGAACAAATTCAAACTCTGAAGAAACACCAAATACCTAAAAAAAAAAAATTATGTATATATTTGTATGTATACCCACATAACACATATATTCCAGATAATGTTGTTGTAAGCATAATCAACAGAAGGGGAGTGACATTTCTATTACTACTTGGAAAAATGTGACCCTTGAGAAGAAACTTGAACAAATTCTGTTTGCTTCATTTAACAAATTAGTCTCACAGGAGTCAGCATTTGGCCACACTGTGTTGCTGTTGCTTGCTCATTTCTTGCTTTGGTTCCATCAATTATTTCTCCTCATACTCAGCTTCTTTTCATTTCATAAACAGCCGACCCTCCTTGAACTGTGAAAAACCTCTCATGCAGCTTGAAAGCTTGATGCTTGCAGACCTGTTTTCCTTTTCTATGTTAAAAACATGTATAAAGCCTGTTGTTCATGGAAGGAGCAGCTTGAAGGGGACAGGACACACACACGCGAGATGTAGGTTTCCTTGTAGACCTCGGCGCTGGGTGTCCACCCTCTTAGGGCCAGCCGACTCCTGAGCAGAGGCAGTGACTTGTCTGTTGTGTGCCGGTTTGGCACGACAAACTCACAGAGATGGTGTTGCTCTTCCTCTGGTGGCCAAAAGTGTGAGGTGAATCTCAGCCTGCGAGTGAAATTGTTTAGCACTTTGATAGTGACTCCCTATTTTGCACCCACTCCCTGGAAAGCAGCCAGCTGTTAAAACTTCCTCTGCTCCCCGCTTCTTAAATATGCATTTTGTGGCATTTCTTCACTGGGGGGATGCTGGGATTTCTTGCCTCTTCGTAGCAGATCCGCATTCGTGCGGTGCTGATTGATGTCCAGTTGCATTTCCCTCCAGATCCTGGTGTGACCTCAGCTTTTCTTCCACGACGGTGGAACACGCTTGCTGGGAAGCTCACCTTTTGGGGCGGGATGGCAGGTCAAGAACCTGCCTGTGCTTGCTGAGGAGCAAAAAGCAGTCACCGAAAAGGCATACAAAGAACAATTATTCATTTGTGTCTCAGAAATATTAGGATTTAGGGAGGATGTAGGTGGGGGCTGGTTCCCACTAGGTAGGAGGAAGCATCCCTGCTCAGCACATGCAGGTTGCTGGCTTTATTTCGGTGCAGACTTCCAGGAGGTCACTGGACCAGCGCTTCTGCCCTGCCACAAAGCTTATAGCAAAACTGATGTTTCTCTCTGACACTTGTGAATCAGTGTATCCAGCCACCCGGCTGAGGTCAGGGCACAGTGAGATGGCTGCATAACTGGACACAAGTCATTCAGCTGAGGTCAGGAGTGAAATGCCCGTGAAGCCATCAGTTGAACGCAATTGTATTTTGGCCTGAGAGCAAGACTCAGTCCTGCGCCATGTGCCTGTCCTTATGCTGTGATAAAACCTCTCTGAGTTTTGTAGTCTGAGCTCCACATCATATTGGGATCGTAAAAACAAATGTCTCTTTTTGGCCAGCTGTGAAGGCACAGCAGAGTTAATGGCTCTGAAGACTGAATGTTAATTACCTCTCAGTTGCTATTGTTTTGGAACTAGTTACAGAATTTGACGCTCTCCCCATCTCCTTTTTTTAAACATAGAACAGGGAGGTATGTTCTCATTTTGATTTGGCAATTTGTTTTCATGGTCAAGCCTTTCAGTTCCTGTACCCAACACTTTCCATTTAGCTGACCTTGATGTGAAAGATGGCACTAAGAGTCCTCACTCATGATGGATGAGATTCGCACTGTATCACTGAGTTCCTTCCCCAAATTTTTGCCAGCTGAGCAATATAAAGTACACATAACACCTCTATTGACTCACAGATAGTAGTGATCAGCCATTTTCTGTTTGCTTCCATGGAAACCAAGACAAACTGTGACTTACGCAAGGCGGGCTGATGCGAAAGCATGTGCGGGCAGGTGGAAACCAGTGGTGGGAAAGCCAGTGTGACTGGGGGGACAGAAACCAGGTAGCATTTTATGGCAGGAAGCATCCTTCTTTGTAAATGAGGAAAACAAGTGAACCGGGAAAAAAAGTCAAATCATTCAGCATTGCCAATTTCCTACCACCACTGCCACCCTTCCCCCACCTCGTTCTTAATGAACAAGCTGTCATATGTATGATACGTACATCTATAGGTATATGACTTTTCTGTTGAGGAACAGATTAGAAATCAGTTTTGTGGACTGCAGCTGTCCCCTTCATTGTCTTTTGGAGTAGGTGGCCTAGTGCCAGGGAGCCCTGCTGTTATTCTGGCCCACTGGTTGCAGTATGGGATGCTGGGCTGCAGCATGAGCACAGCCTGAGGGTAGGAGTCCACCCCTTGACCCCGGCTCCGCTCTCCAGGCTTTGCAAGGATATAAGGGCATTCGGGTCTGTGGAACGAAAATTTACAAGCTAACCTGTCTGTTACCACAGATACAGCACTGTGTCTAGTTTTTGCTAAGAAATAAGAGCTTCTGCAATGACCAGTAGAAAAGAAAGAAATGATCCTTCATATTTAGTTACGTTGAGACACTGGTCTTTTCCCAGGTTTTGCGGAAACTAATTACAGCTGAAATCCACGCAAGGAAAATCTCTAACTGCGCAGCGCAGGCCTACCAGTATATACACAAACTAATCAGGGAGCATCAGAGCCTGCTGAGGTATGTACTTATCTGTGCAAGATGAAGTTGTCAAACCATTCAAGAACAGGCACCAAGGTTTTAGGAATGCAAGATCTGATGTTGCAATCATGATGTCTGGCTGGCAGCTTCTCTATATACCTCGAAGTACTTTGCCAAATCTGGACCTAAAATAACTACTATATTTTTCACGTATTCCTTAGCAATCCAGCTGGGTGGGAAGCAGATAGGTT